GGTGATAGCTGGGTAGCTCTTGTTCCTCACTTCTTTCTTCCTTATTTCTTCTCTTCTGTTTTTGTCTGAAGGTACATTTGTTCACTTCTCTAAGAGAAATGACTCTTGAAAATGCCTGTGATATAATAACAGACATTGTCTGCAACAGGAACATTATTCTTGGCAAAATTATAATTTTCACAGTAGATCTTGCCAGCATGTGATGACAAAAACAGTGCCAGGTCTTTTTAAGGGACCACTGTAAGCATAACTTTAGTTATCATGAAGTTCATGCAATGCATTCTGTTATTTTTTAGCAGCGAATTCTTGAAAACAGGATCCTGTAATCCCATGCAGTCCTCAGCTGTGTCAACCAGACTTCTTCTATCCTACCTTCATTTGGTGCCGTGACCAGTATTCATGGATGAGTTTGCCTCAGCTCACTTGTTTTTGTGGATAACCCTCTAATCACATGCACATGCACACAATCAAAGCAACCAAAACATGGAAACACACACACACATATACACAACACAGGGCAAATGATCCATCAAATTACTGAGAGGGATGCAGGACAATGTGTTTGTTTATCCTCAGGATCTGAAACCAAAATAAATGGCTGCTTCATCACTCAACCAATCCATTCATTTTGAAGAACAACACACAGAGATACAGTAAAAGTCACATTTCAGAGCAGTAAATCATTAGTGCTGCATGTTTAATTCCACCAGAGCATTGAGAGTCTTGAGAGCAAAACAATGTTTCTCCCCGATGGGCAAAGTCGGTGGTTGATTTGAATGATGCGATGCATGTATCAGTGCTCTCTGTAACTGCAAAGTAATGTCTACAAGCTATGGTTGAGAGATGTTGGGTGATAAAAAATCCAGTCAGTGGTATGACTTTCAACAAAGACACATTTTTTCTTTCTTAAGTCTCTGACTGTGGCCTTTTGATTTCTGAATCTGCCTTGGACTGGTTCTCCTCCAACATATAGAAATGAGTTTGTGTGATTTCATCTTGCTAACTTCAGAGTACTGTTCTCATTATACACTACACGCTTCCCTTAGGACATACTATTTATTATAGTAAAAATCTCATTTCACTGTTGAGCTGATGATGTGCAGATGTACCAAGTACCTTCAGTAAGCTGGACACTTGACACAGCTGATTATCATCAAGACAAAATTACTTACTATTTACAGTTCAACGGACACTGTTTAAAGGGCCCAAACATTACTCCATACAAATTGGTCTCCTTACCCTTGATAATACTTTAAACTTGCAGGAACTGAATTTGGGGGCAGCAGAGACAAGTTGTGAACAGTTGTTAAGTTGATATGGCAAACTTGTTAGCAAACAGTTGCTTATTTGCACATCCGGCAGTTACAGAGAAACATAATCATTCCCTTGGAGTCGTGTTTCTGGTGAATGTAAGTCTAATATTTACTCTGTGATTAGCTCAGTTTTTGTTTTTTGGACCAAAACAGTACAGTTGCAGACACCACAGCTAAACAATGAGCTGAAACTCGCCATAAAGCTTCAGAATAAGGTGATTATTATCTAGTTCATCACACAAGTGAAATATTTCGTTTTCACATTGTCCCATTTCCCCGGAAATACACTTATTGGCTTTCTTGTCAAGATGATAAGATTGATACCACTTTCATGTCTGTACTGTATAATACTGTATAAAGCTACAGCCTGTATGGTTACCTTAGCTCAGCATAAAGGCTGGAAATCAACCAGTTTTTACATTTAAATTTTTAGGTGGATTAAACAAACAGATGTAATGTGTTAATTGGTGAGCGGTTTGCATTCTCTCTCTCTCCCTTCACTTCCCAGTCGTTTCCCTCCTGTCTGTGGATCGCTGCCACAATGGAGAAATTGGATTCAGGGCTGAAAGTTCCATTTACAACCATGAAAAGCAAACAAGCGATCAGGCAGAGCATGCTTAACTCACAAATCTGATCTGATTGTTTTTTTCAACTTTAGGCATTCAGAGAAGTCCTGCAAACATGCAAGGTGCTCCGATCGTCAAGGCGCCTAGGGTGCATTAGCGTCGCTGCCTATAGAAAACAACTGGAAAAAGAATCTCTTACTGTGAATACTTCACTCTGTCTGACTGAACCAAGTGACGTGTTCTGGTTCTTCAGCGCTGTAGACAGCTCCAAACCTACACACGCACCCCAAAATTTAGCCAGACTAATTTCACAGCACACCCACTTGCTCAGCTGTGGGGCTTACAGTAATCATATGCCAAAATATTTAGACACCAAAAAGCATTAAACCTCTTGCCAGCATACAGTGCATCTACCGGTAGGTCTACATGTTGGGCTTGCATTTTGATGGTGACAAAGGAGTTGCCAGATCCAATCAAATATGTGCTGGGCCCAATCTGGGTGGCTGATATAGTGAGTGTATTGCCTTACTGCTTCTGTGTCCTCATGTTTCAGTGCAAGTTTGTTATAAGGTTAGAAATGTTACACTCAGAAAATTTGATTAATGCTTTGATGTACTTTGTAATGAAAAAATACATTTCGTATATCTATGAACATTCTCAGTCATCCAGGTCATAGTTATCCAAGGGTTAAATCAAGGGCCACTGCACTTGACTGAAGACACTTGAAGAAGTTTCTCTCATCCAAGAGGCTTCTTCAGTTCTTCAGGCTTTTCTGAATGAAGGAGCCTCTTGGGTGAGAGGTGAAAGTATCTTCAGTCAAGTGCAGTTACCCTTGATCTTACCCTCCTTGGATCCATTTCACATACATTTTAATTGCACAGTATATCGTGTTATTTTATTTTTTACATCGTGTCAGCTTTGGATCATGTACAAATCAGCAGCTTCTTACCCAGACCAATTATTATTTTCCACATTAGCTCAGTTTTGTACAGAGCTTTATGGTCTGGAGCCAGATTATTATTATTAGTGAACTGTTAACTCCCTGCCTTTGGCCTCTCAGGTCCACTAGTTTTGGTCTTTGACTGTTTACAGTAACTCATTATTGTCAATCTTAAATACATAATACCTAGCATGCAATATATATATATATATATAGCACAGAGCATAAACAGCATAACAATAAAGAAGCAGTAGTTTTACAGTTTGTTGTTTTTTTTTAACCTTTCTTTTACCTGCCAGGTTGCTATGTACAATTCTGCAAAATATTCTGTCTAGCACCAAAAACTAGAAGAATCCTGCATAAGATTGAAATATGTTCATTTTCACTATATTTGGAGAACTATGATCATACTCTATTTGAATGACCATATGCTACAAAGTAATGAAATTATTAATGACAATTTAAGTGCACTTTGGCCTTAACTCTCATGGCTCTCTACTTGCTTAAGTGTTGTTTTTTCCAGCTGTGTGTGAAGTGCTGTTTTATCATCAAGTGTCTGTGTCGGCTCTAAAAGAGGAGTTCTCTTAAACAGATCAGAGGTTGGACCATGTGTTTTTGATCTTTAAAGTCAAGTGTCTCTGTCTGCTTATCTCACTCATGTCATCAAAACTGAGATAAAACTCGAGGTTTCCAAATGGTGCAGAAGTACGTGTTATTTTCCACATCACATACAGCCATGATAAATGGGTAAGATAAAAAAAAAATGTATGCAAAATAATGACACAAACTGACCATTTAAAAGTGTTTTAGGCATTATTTATGTTCTGTTATGTTAACACCAATTCGACCAATTCGAGATAAGATAGTAGAGTAATAGTAGTAGAGTTATGTGATTATTTCAGTATTTACCTACTTCCTATCCGATCAGGCATGGTGGTTATCAAGTCTGGAAACAGGCACATTCAGAATATATATAGAAAAAACAGATTTTGATGTCAGAAAGTAATTTTTGATCAAGACTATATTTTGTTTAATATCTATACTATTGCAGATAAAATTCTTTGATTAATATTAGATTGAAACGTAGTTTCTTAGGCAACATCTGATACATTTTTTCCTTTCTAATTTCAAACCACTATGCTAATTCAGCTAGCTAAACATTGGCTGACAGGGGTGGGGTGTCACAACCATCCCCTATAGGGACTTTGTTGATTTTAAGATTTACAGAGTGCCCTTTGCAGTCTGGGCCCACCGCTTACACTCCAGGGTTACCAGCATTCATTTATCAGCTCTGTGACCAGTACTCACCATTCACATGTACTTCGCAGGTTGGCGTGTGTTTTGGCACTTGATCTTTTCCACACTCCGTCTCCACCGGTGGAGAGGGCAGAGAAGCGTACAGGCAGCTTGTGAGAAGTGCCGGTGCGCAAGAAAAAGTCCTGGTACACCAAAGAGTAAAATATACAAGTGTACTGTGTACCGATGAGTACTGGCCCACTTCAAGCACTGACTATGACTCTGATTAAGAATACACACACACAGACACACAACTCTTTTTTGTTAGACCTAAGGATGTACAAAGATGTTCTTTAATTAAGTATATAGTAGTAGTATTTATTAAGTATACTGTTGAGTAAGTTTATTCTATGGGCTACATAAATTTACATACACATACAGGTGCGTGAGTCCTCAGACATAGACTGTTACAGTGAGAGAGAAACATTCTTCTTTTATATCACTGCCTGTTTTTGAAGCATATAATGTGGCATCTATTTTTGCTTCTTTTGTCTTATTGTCACTGTGGTGTCCAAACAATAATGCTGCGATGATGTGTTGAGAGGAAACCCGCTTGACACTGTTCTTGATTATAAAGGTTTATTACATCAAAGAGTTCAGCATCAATTACAAGCTCTGCAGCAGCTTGGAGAGTGACCCAGCCCGATGGCCACTCTGTCTTTCTGTACATCAAACATAGCTTATATAGGATATGTTTAGGTATCTGTTAGGTACCATAGCAGGGTTTGAGTCTGCAAAATAAAAGGTCAAACCCATAGAAGGGTACAGCACTATTCTGAGGTAACAAAACAAGGGGTTAGAGGTCAAATTCTATAGAAGGGTTCAGTCCCTACATAACCACCAATCACTGCTCTCCCCTTAGGAGGTCACTGACCCTCTGTCCTGCTGCTACAGTGCTATTTTAAACTGTTATGAGTCAAATGCACATATATTGGACACCACATCACAACTTACCCCGGTACTGGGGTAGGTTGTCAACTCACAAGGTCTTTGATATTCTTGTGCAGAATTTAATTGGTGCCATTTGAAGTGAACAAATGTGAGTACTTTGTATAAAAGTTTGAGAACTCTTAGAAAAATTTAGTGAGTTATAGTTGCTCAAGCAAAAAGTGTTACAACCATACCCGGTCTTCCCTATCTTAAAACAATGGCACACTGAAAAGATCTATGTGAATCAAGTACAGATTGTGATGCCGCCTCCACTTAATTACAGACCGCAGACAGGTCGCTCCTGCCTTTGTGTCTGTGATTTCCAAGCACATATTCAAAAAGACAGATGGAGAGAGAGACATTGCAAGCATATAACATTGCAAGCATGTTGATTTTTTTTGTCCCTCTCTCCCTGTTGACAGGTTGTTGGCGGCTCTGGTTAGATGCCTCCCCCTCCAAGAAAAGCGAGCCAGATGTCACAGGGGGGAGTTCTCCACTGGGACCCAGTTGTGGTGTGATGCCTAAATTAAAATGATTATCTATTGATGGAAATTACTTTTTTGACTCACCTAAAAATATCTGCAAGACAGTTACATACTCATTTTCAAAACTTTTCCCCACAAAACTTAAACATTTAATTTGTGAACATTAATGTGGTGAATTGTAATGACCAACTAAGAATAAAACACTGTTTCTGCATGTGCATGACCAGATTTAACAGTATCTCTGTATGGCTTTGTATATCACAATTGCATTTATTCATGTATGTGTATATTTTTAAAACAAAGCTGTTTGAGGGGATTCAGAGCAATGCACTAAGGCCAAATTAATTTTTTTATACCTCAAGAACATCATGTCCCGCAGTGCAGCTCATTGCTTTTCCCCTCTTCTGCACCATGCTGGGAAAAGAGAGAAGAAACTGCATCATTTGAGTCCTGTGTACGGCATACTCTTCCAAGGCATGTGAATTCTTGTGTTCTTTGGACCAGTGGGGACCAGTCTTCCATCAGCTCCCAGTTTCAAGCTCACACAGCTATGTGTTTTAACCTTCATGTCACCTGTGTGTGTGTCCTGCTCCCACATGGCTGTGTACAGCCTTTTTAAAATGTCATTTTGACAGAACCACATGGACCCACTAGGGGGTTCAAAGGCAAAACTGAGTTGTGGGCCTTTTTTGATCCCCTTTGCTTGGCAGCACAGGTTGAAAACAAAAGTACTGCTATGCAGGAATACTATACTGCCCAAAGACTGTGGATCAGTTGGTTTTTCAATCTTGCAAATTAAGGGCAAAAATAAAAAGGATTCTTTGGTGTTTGGTCGTAAAAGAACAATGGTCAGAAAAAAGTAAATGATGTCAAAAAATATAGGTCCCAGAACAGAAAGATAAACCCACTGGTAAGAGAATATAAGAGCGGGGCTTTTCATTCATCTCATGTACAAGTGTGATTACTGGGGATAGATAAAGGCGCCATTATTAAAATCCTCCAACCTCAATCACATAACACACAATTTACTTTAATTTTCTGTTCCACTCCCACTCTATTCCCAGGAAGTTACCCATGCTTTTTGTGTGTGTGTTTGTGTGTGTGTGTATATAGCAAGCCCCCGGGAACAGCATTGGTGATTAAAAACTCACTCGCTGAATTTTCACAATTTAAACCATTATGTCCAATTATATTTAAAAGTTACCAACATCCTTATCAAGATGTTGTTTCATTCGTGTACGCAGGCAGTGAGCAAGAGAAGAAAGCTCCTGAGATTTTGTGAGGGCCAACAAAATCATACAATATCCATGTATGTGGTAGGTTTCATTGGAAAATAAACGGCAGCCCTCTTGGTGCTCATAATATCTCCATGGACGAAAGGGGTGCGGTGGTGAGAGTGGTGGATGGGGATTGGGGGTCAGAGGTTGCCATGACAATCCCACCTGGAGTCATTTACAGTTTGCAATCAGCACCGAGCATCACCGTGATTATGTGTGAAACACCACAACAGACACTGACTAGGAGCAGCCTCGCTGGTAGATGCAGTCACTCTGTGGGTCGCTTTCACACATACTCATGATGACATTCTATGAAAACGCTTTCCTCCTCTCCTCCTTTCATCTTGTGCTGTCCTCCCCCTCATAGTCTTCTCTTAACCCCCCGCCTCCTTCTTCCCCTGGGTTGAAGTAGCTGCACAATGAGCAGAATGAATCCATTGTAATTGACAGGTTCCTGTTGCACTATGGCCTGGCTATGTGCAATGGGTAATACATGAGGCACATACCTGGTTTGGTTTCAAATGAGGAATAACACTGTCAGGCACTAATGGTGTGAATGTGTGTGTGTGTGGGTGTGTGTGTGTGAGTACGCGCATGCATATGCTCAACTAACCCAGCATCAAATGAACACTGGCAGAGCCAAATGTGCATCAGATGACAGCATGCATATCAGAGTCTGTTTATGGAATCATTTGGCTTTGATTGTGCGCTTCAGTGGGCAGTAGTCATGAACAAAATCACATAAGGAAACACGTCGCTTTGTTTCTGGAAAAGATTTCCAAATCAAGCTCTTAATCACTGGAAAACAAAGCAGATACCAGATAAGCACAGCTTTAAGAAAGGCATTCTTGTGATGTTAAATAGCAAGCGAATGACGTCAAAAGTCCTTGTTGCTTGTTTAAATGAATAAGGGAGTGAAAATAAGACATTAGATATTGAGATAAGAAGGAGGAGCAGAATGAGCTCAAAAACACTAAAGGATTCAAGCTGATGTAGGTAGCAGAAGTTAGGAAATGTGAGTAGCATCTTTTCTTATAACGACGAAAGAAAGAGCTGATATTGTGGTCCTAATTCTTGTAAAAATCTATTCTCTGTCGAAGGATCTCCACAACACATCGCACTACTGGGTTGTGCCTTAGAGTAAAGACAGAGATAAAGCATTTACATAATCCTAAAGCATAAAACATTCATGCAATAAAGACAGGCTGATAGGCAGAAAGGAATCAGACAGAGTTGCAGAAGCAGCCTGGCTCTTTTTAAGTGTCAGTTTGTAATTGTCCACGCTCGATTTAATTTTTTTATTTTTTTGCAGGTTTGGAGATAAGCAGCCTTCAGGTTTCATGATTCACTGTTGAAACAGGGGCTTTTCTTCGCTGCCCTTTTCCTACCTGTGCACCAAATGATGACACTCAGCACCTCAGAGTGATTGTATCAGTGTGTACTCTAACCCAGCAGTCGCTCTGCAGGCTACAACAGAGACTGTGGTTCTCACACATCATAAATAGCCTCTTGGTTGGAAAGTAAGCTGATGTTTATTGGGCTGGGGGGCTTTCAGCTCACAGTGGGCTGCTGATCACGACATGAAATAAATGAAATTGCAGAAAGTAGAGTTTAGAATTGCACTACTGGGACTGCGCAAGGCTTTAAAGAAGAGTGTTGGAGAGCCAGATGGTTGAGAAATATTGTTGATTCACACAATACACTTATCTTTTTCACATAAAATGAGAATGAATTTTCTTTCAGAGGTAAGAACATTGATTTTTTTGATTGTGTGTGCTTTCACTCCATACGCCAAAGGATTTGTTCAGCAACTTGTTTCTTTCATTCTTCACTTGAGGCACATTCAAAAACACAAATCCTCTAATGGCGAATGAAATTGAATTGAGAGTTGTGCATGGTCAGGTGTTCTGAGGTGGATTTATTTAGCCGCTGCTGCTATGTTCCCCTCACACATGGTTATTTTAGCTCTATCTCATCAAACCATTGAGTCAATCTTTTCTCACTTGAAATCAACTGACACACACACACACACACACACACACAGATTTATATATATATATATATATACACATAACTTGTCAAATCACTGTTTCTATGAGTCAATTTTGGTTTATACTACTATTTTATGTAACCTTGCCCGAAATCTTCAGAGTCAGAGTGTGTTTACACAGTGTTGACTCTAACCTTTCATGGGTTGGAGGCAGTGAAGGCCACAGTGACACAAATATGAGAGAGTAAGACACCTGAAGGCCAGGAATGCATTTAGACCTTCTGAGAAATCAGATTCTTTTGATGTGAACCTGCTTGTTTATGTTCTTGGCAGCTCTGGAGTAGCATGAAAGAAGATAAGTAAAAAATTGGGGAAGAAGCAAAATTTTTAATTCACCCCTTTGTTTAAGTGCCTAGTTGCAGACTTTGGTTGTTGTTTTACAAGAATGATGAGCACGGGAAACGGTTGAACCATTTTGACCTAAACTGGTGCATAAGAGCATTTTTAAGTTGGGAGGGGAAATTATTGGTGGGAGGTATGTAAGCCTTTTTTAATTCCTTAGATTATGTTCTAGTAGGTTAAATTTGGAGGCAAACAAAAGTACAGATGACAAAAATCAGCATGGGCTGAATGTCAAGCCATGAAAGTAGTTAACCCTAACGCTGGGAATAGAATTTCTTATTATACAGGGTGGCAATGGTGCAATGGATAAGACTATGCCTTTGGTGTGAGAGCACTTTGTGTCAAGACACTTAACCCCTAGTTGCTCCAGAGACGTGCAACCTCTGACATGTATAGCAATTGTAAGTCGTTTTGGTAAATGAATAAATGTAAATGTTATTAGCAAACCCTGAGTGATCTTCAGATATTTCTGAGTATGGTCAGGAAAGGTGTTCTTCATACTTTGAAGCTGGAGTACAGAACATTTACAAATAAATGAACATCTGTTACATTTAAGTCCTTGCCCTACGAGTTCACAGAATGCTGATGAAGCATCGGTACTGATGTGTTACATTAAATGGAAATGATTAGTTTGCCAGGGGCAACCCAGAGCCATGTGGAGAGCTCCAAGATCTGCTATTGCTGTAAAAAAAAAAAATAAGAGGTACATTGGAGAGGTTCAGGATTACAGTAAAAAAAAAAATACAATTGACGGCGAGAGTAGGAGAACTATTGGTGTAGCTTGTCCTAGAGCGCTGAGAGAAGAGATGGGACTGAGGGCAGACATGGATGTCACATCTTGGACAGGTTGGTATTTGTAAAATATTTGGAGTAGGTTTTGTAATTATTACATTTACTTTACCTAAATAATGGAACTGTGTTGTACTGCTGTTTTTACTTTGGCAACTTTTTCTTTGCTGCAAAAGGCAGACAAAGTCTGCAATTAGCTGGTGAACATTTAGCAGCTAAAGAGCCAGATATTTTTCTCAGGAGATTGTGATTGGACTTCATCAGGTTGCCAGAAACATGGCAGAAATCTGTCTGCTGGGAGTTTAAATATGCAAATGTTTGTCATTGTTGTGTTTATAGTTTGTTCGGTTGCACGAAGTTACCCAAAACCCAGTAAATTTACATTTACTCATTTGGCAGACGCTTTTATCCAAAGCGACTTACATTTGAGGAACAACATACAAGCATCAACAGAGCATCAAATACAGATCTACAACTGACAATACATACTAGTAAGAGAAGCAATAAATACTAGTAAGAGCTCATGGATCATATATATATATATATATATATATATATATATATATATATACACATAGGGAAGGAAGTAGAGTTAACATAGGGAAGGTAGTAGAGTTAACAAAAAAAGAAGGAAGTAGAGTTAACAAAAAAGTGCAATCAATGCAAGATAATTGTAAGGGAAGAAGAAGAGCACAGTAAGTGCATGTTAGAGGTTAGGAGTTAGAGGTGTTATAAGAGGAAGTGTTCTCGGAAGAGATGAGTTTTCAAGAGCTTCTTGAAGTTAGAGAGGGACGCCCCTGCTCTGATGCTCCTGCTTGTTCCACCATCGTGGTGTCACAAATACAGAAGCCGTGCGAGCGAATGATCGGCCCCAGTTACACGGTGTAAATTGAGAAGAGAAGGGGCCCTAGCACTGAGCCTTGTGGCACCCCTGTGGAGAGGCAGTGGGAGGAGGATAATTGTCCTTGCCACAAACATTGTAGAAAAGGTAGGATTCAAACCACAGGAGTGCTTTACTCGAGATGCCCATTGCTGAGAGAGCAGATAGCAGGATCCTGTGGTTGGCTGTGTCAAAGGCAGCTGAAGCAGGACAAGAACCTAAGATTGGGCTGCAGCTTTAGCTGACCTTAGGGCTTCTGTTACAGACAGAAGAGCCGTTTCAGTAGAGTGGGCACTCTTAAAACCAGACTGATATGGATCTAGGAGGTCATTCCGTGAGAGGAATTCTGAGACCTGTTTGAATACTGCCCGTTCAATAGTTTTGGATAAAAATGGTAGAAGAGACACTGGTCAATAGTTCTCAACTTGAGTTGGGTCAAGTGAGGGCTTTTTGAGCAAGGGTGTAACCCGAGCCCTTTTGAAAGTGGTCGGGAAGGTTCCTGAAGCCAGAGAAGTATTTATCACATGCGTGATTGCTGGGACCACGGTAGGAGATATGGCTTGGAGGAGATTCGTAGGAATTGGGTCCATTGGGCATGTAGTGGGACGTCTATGGGTCAGGAGTTCTGAGTAAACGAGGAGAGTGAAGAATCATTGACCTGGGAGGGCAGAGGAAAAGATGTAGTAGGACTGCTACAATGGTGGCTAGTTATAGCCGCCACTTTGACTTTGAAGAAGGCAGCAAAGGTATCAGCACACAAGTTTGTGGGTGGTGGAGGTGGAGGAGGATTTAGTAGCGCTTTAAAACCACCTCCTACCTGGCGCCTATTTCTAGGAAAAAACGCCTAAAATAACATCCAAAATAAATCAGTAATATCTCCTCAACCATTAGGCCTGGATGCATAATTCTGGTCTCCTTTGAAAGGTCAGAAGCTAAGGAATATAAATCAATTGTAGATTAACATATTTATTTTACCATTACAGACTACATGGATATGAAATACAGAAAAAATTTAATATTTTCATCCTGGCCTGGTAAAAAAAGCTTTATTTTGATGCAATAAACCATCAAAACCATCCTAAGGTAGACTATAATGCACCTGAATATCTTCTAATACACCTACAATACAACTGTAACTGTAAATTTGTTTTTGGCCATATTTACTGTTTATATGTTCACTTTTATTGGTAGTTATCTTCAAAACATTATTTCTCTCCATACAACCACGTTCCAAATAACATAAAGCTTCCAAAACATTGAAATATTGATAAAAACAGTCAATATTAATGACCAAAAGCACTCCCATGCTTTACAGGCCCACAGCTTGAGAACAGAACATCCTACAGGGCTGTGGGTGGGCTCATTTTGTCGTTTTGTTGCATGTCTGTGGAGCTCCTATGGTTCGCCAGCAGAGACCGATGAAGTTCGCCTCCGCCAAACTGCACTCTTCTTCGGCTCAAAGAAAACACAAAGCGCAGTTAGCGCCAGTAGCCCAAGAGATAATGTGTTAGCATAAACAGTGATAAAGTCAGCTTTGTTGACTGCTGACTGGCAGTTCCATGACCCAGCAGACATGTAAACAGATGTGGGTGGTGCCTGTTTTAAAGGCTTGAGGAGTGCCTGATTTCTGTGCCTGATGGCATAATACCTCTTGCGTGGACCGGAGTCAATAGGAATAGTATAGTAGCACATGGCCTGAGTGTAGTTGTAGCTGGCAGCTTTAGGTGAGTAGGTGTGCCTCGGGAAAGGAAAAAGCTACTCTTGTAGGTGGACTCGCACATGTAGACTCGCTGGTCTTTACCCAAGTAGGTCTTCACACAAGGAGCCGACGCTTACGCTGACGCTTCAGTGGTAGGTTTCACTGAAGTAGTAGTAGTAGCTGAGATCGCCCTCCGGATTAACAAGACAAAAGCTTGGATTCAGGGGGTGGGACACATACCCAGTTGTTTGATCTCGCTCAGCTGGCCTTCAGATTCTAGTGGATCACAATGCTGTTGCGTTTGATCTTCTTTTCCTCATCCCCCGTAGTGTTGTTCTTCCTGGATCTTTGGCTGTTTTCACAAAGGTCCATTTAGGGTATCCACAGGCTGTAAGTGCTCCCTTCATGTGAATCTGTTCCTTCTCTTTGGTTTGGGCGCTTGTTTGTATGTTGTCCGCTCTGTGGTGCACTGTTCTGATGACTCCTAGCTTATGCTCCAGTGGGTGGTAGGAATCGAAAAGTAGGTATTGGTCTGTGTGTGTGTGGGTTTTCTGTATACTCCAATCTGCAGGCTCCTGTCCTCTTCAATGTGTACGTCACAGTCCAGGAAGGCCAAACTGTTGTTGTGAACATCTTCTCGTGTGAACTTGATGTTACTATCCACAGAGTTGATGTGTTCTGTGAATGCTTGCACTTCCTGGGTTTTAATATTGACCCAGGTGTCATCCACATTCCTGTACCAGTGGCTCGGTGCTATTCCTCTAAAGGAGCTCAGGGATTTGCTCTCCACTTCTTCCATGTAGATATTTGCCACAGTGGAGGATACCGTTAAGCCCATGGCACAGCCGGGCTTCTGTCTGTAGAATCCTGCGTTGGACTGGAAATAGGTTGCAGATCTGGTCAGGGCTGAGGCTGGTTCTGTTGTCCAGGGTGTTGTCTTGTAGTAGCCGTTTCCTTATGGTTTCTACTGCCTCCATGGTGGGGATGCAGGTGAACAAAGGACTCACATCATAGGATACTATGGTTTCATCTGGGTCCAGTTTCAGTCCTCAAACTTTGTTTACAAAGTCAATAGAGTTTTGGATGTGGTGAGTGTAAAGGGTTAAAAAATGTGTTCACAGTTAGGCATAAGAGAGAAAAATTAAATTAAATTAGTTCAGTTCATTATACTACCATTCATCGCTAAATGACACCCATAATTTTTTTCATGATATTGTGTATTAAATAGTTACTAAAAGGCCAATTTCAATGAATTGTACTTTGGTGGGGCGATACTTAAAGAGGTCACTAGGTGGCGCATAGCGCGTAGGAGGCAAGCGCTGCAGAATAAATACTGCAGTCGAGCTGAACGCAAGCTAAAGTTTCTGCCTCATTGTTTCTGCATACAGGTGGGTTAATGTTCCTCACATTTGCATGCATGTACCCCAGTATAAGGGATAAGTGTGTTTTTAATCCTTAGTGAGAACGTGCAATGTTTAGAGTTGAATAGATTTGCCGTAATGCGTGAAATAGTGATGTTTAGCTATACACTGCCATGCTAGGCTAGCGGACCTTTTGCTAATGAGGAACCCACAGTACAATAGAAACGCTAATGGTCTAGTTTTGTGTTGTTAACTGATCTGAAAAGGCATTCACTGCTAATGTGTGTGTGTATAACGCATTATGTTAAACGGTTTCCCGGTGTATGTAAGTATTGTACTCGACTTAAAAAGTGATGGAAATACAGAAATTTCTGAATGTGTGACAGAAGAGTAGTACTGCAATGAGCGGCAAATGTATTAGTTACTCACTGTAAGCTTGTACATTAGTGTTTGAGGTGCAACGTGATCAAAGTGTCGAACTTGGGAAAATGTTAGTTAAAAGAACCAAATGAGTACAAGTTCGTTTTTTGTTGTTCTACTGGTTAATATGTAATTCACGTCAACTGAAGCACAATGAAAAGTACAGACCTTTTATATTGTTTAGTTAGCTGTGCTATGCTATCATTACTTTAGTATTTTCTGAAGATATGGTGATGTCTTGCATATTTGAAAGTACTGTGAAATACCTGAACAAGCATTTTGTTTTATTACTACAGCGAGTCGAACATTAATTCCTTTTTTGTTGAAGCAGAATAAATACTGCAGTCGAGCTGAACGCAAGCTAAAGTTTCTGCCTCATTGTTTCTGCATACAGAATTTAAGGAACCCCCCCCCCTGTTGTAGGTGACTTAATGCTGGGTATGTCATTTCTTTATTTACTTTCCAAGGTTGTTACTTTCATATTACAGATTTAAAATATTTGTATACAATCTTGTGACATTTGTCAAGAAAGATAAGATTTTATGACCATGAAGGCCTTCTTTTTTCATCAAATACTAACATCTGATGGAAAAAATGTCATCTGATCAGCCTTAGTAATTTGTAATTAGTACACTATTGTGATAGTGGGCGACTCGAGTGTGTTTCTGTTATAAGAATTAAGGCAGAGGACTACTGTGTTTACTGTACAGCAAAATGGCAAGGTGTTATCCCTAGAAAATCCATTTTCACACTGACTAATCACTGTCAACATTATTGTTTGAAAATTTTACATTTATATAAGAACTGACCTCTATGATGAGTTATTTATGCAGAGCTGCAGGATTGACTCAACCTACATGGCATACCAGTTGCATAAGAAATTACGCGAGTTAAAATGACAAGAAATATCACAACACAGTATATGGCTTTATGCTGCCAGCCGAGAAAATGATATTTTTCTCCTTTCATTGTCAGTGTGATATGGGACTTCAATAAATGATATCCCATTAGGAAAAAGCAGCAGAGGCATAACACCTGACTCCCAATCTGTCACTGAATATGACACAGGTATACACACTCACACACATATCCTGCTTGTTTTGTTCTCTTCCTCTTTCCTACCTCCTCCTCTTTGTCAACCAGTTCTCCCAGGAGCAGCAGTCATCAGTCTTTCAGCACGTCTGCCTCTGTAGGATGTGCACGGTGGCCAGCACTTCATTGTGATGTGATCACTTTGACCTTTTCATGGGACATGGACCAAGCTTTGGTTGTCACGCCTCCACTGGGGGCACTGACATCTATAGAACAATGGAGGAATAATGAGCTCCCAGTTGAAATGTAATTGTTAGGTTTTTCTCTCACTTTGAAAAATGTTAACACCAGACTAACAAGTGCAAAGTATTTAATCCTCAACAGGCAGAGGATGTTTATGTCTCTACTTTTGAAAGTGTGATTGATCTCACACAGTAATTAAGCTAAGCTTAAGTGACATTCATATCTTCAAACTGTTCTGTGTTCAGTTTGCATGTTTGCGAGTTTCTTCCACGTCCAAGTTTCCTTCAACTTCAAAAGACATCATTCTGAATACTCGTACAATTGCTTTGACTTATGATACTGTCCTGACCTCGTCTGTGTTTTCATACTCAATACTTACTGTACACTACTTGCCCAGCACCAATCAACAGACTCAAAATCAAAATTTAACAACAAGCTGGTGCCTTTACAAGCTATAGAGCCAGATATTTACTTTATTCTTCTATAGAAGTTGGTGGAGACCAAACAGAGCGAAGAGGAGTCTGATTGTTGGATTTTTGTCAGGTGGCCAGAAACATGACTCCAAATGAATACTGATGTCACTCTGTTTCTGCTGGATGTGCAAATAAGCAACAATTTGCCAACACCTTTGGCATATCAACTTATCATATTCCCTGTTATGTTTAAAGCTTGTTGCTCTGTCCCCAAGTGGACAAAAAACAAGTCATGCAGATTCAAAGATTAACTTAACACACCCTGAAAAGTCTGAATTTGTCTCATTCTTGGTAAGTTGGGGAAAAAAGCAGCAGAATTCCCCTAAACTGTACTTTTCCTTTTATCATGGATTGAACTGCTATGGGCCTTCGGATCCCAATTACACTCCCATTTCTCCCACTCGCTGTGCAATGTGTACAGCTTTCTACACTGAAATACAACATTGCCCCAGAATTTCAGAAATACATTCATATAGGAGTTAAAAATATATAACACAGGGACCCACCTTTAGACATGGCCTAAACAGTAGGTAAAGCAGGACTGTTACTGTAATGGTACATATTTCTGAACAAAATGTCAAGTAAATTGGTACAAACGAGCAGTAAGTCTGGAGCTTTCAGGGCACCCTGGAGCTCTGGTGCCTTAGGACAATTTTCCTCCTTTCCCTCTTTGTGATCCTCAGAGGAAACCAAGAGGCTAGAATTTATATTTTTCTCCCATGACACACATACACCACAGACATACCCATTCATCCCCTCTGAACTGCATGAACTGCACACACCAGACACTGGACGGTAGCCCAGAGGCTGCCTCACCATTAGTATGTCCATGTGGGAGTGCTGTCAGGATGAGGAGGTGGCCTTCACCCTGATCTAAGCCCCTCTGCTCCACCAGCTGCTCTCTGCTCACTTTCACTTCTTTGCTAGCAAGCAAGCAGAGGGAGAGCTGATGTACACGTCTCACTGTGAGACGCAAATAGACTGAGATGTAAATTCTAAATGTAATTTTTGTACAGTAACCTACATGGTTGATTGTATTACACATTATTTAAAAAACTTATTTGCAGACCCCTGTTGTATATTATTACTACTTGTTGTTCTTCTTCTTCTTCTAACATACGTATTCGATGAGTGTCTGCACTGCCTGAATTCTACCAGAAGTAGTACAAGAAGAACGTAATGACGAAACATGCACTATAGCGCTGTTTGTCCGTTTTCAGCTAATGCAGGAACATGACGATGTAACGCCGTGACATCCATGGAAGTCGGAGCCCGTGGTTATGTAGATATAAATGTCTCATTCTAAGGTAATAAAAAAATAATGGTTTCTTATATAAGGTCTTTACACACCACTGGAGACATAATTATGGATCTTATATTGCATTTCTGTCTATAGATCGTCAGAAATATTACACAGAAATATTTCCTATCGACTGCCATTCCTAAAACAACCTTTGCTTACATGTACATGACAAGAACATCTAGTATGAATTATGGCTTGTGGCTGTCAGGAATAAAGGCACAGGTACCGTGACGCTCATATGTGTCATTTTTAAGGCAATTCCAATGACATATTTTTTCTTTCAGTGTAAAGAAAGTCTTATAAAGCATCCTGTTTGAACAACAAAACTATCAGACTGACACAATGGTGTGAAAGTAACTCAGACTGCCTCAGTAGTAAGAACAATTTGAATGTCTAATAGTTGAAGTTTGAATCAGACAGCAGGTGCAGGAGTGCTGAAGAAAAACACAGAGTCTTTCCAACATCACCAATGACTAAGTGCCAAATGGCTTGAAAATTGTGACACTTTGGCCCTTATATAGCCTTGGACAGAATAATCCATATACAGTAACATCTGGAGATGCTTTAGATCTGATGTTTGAAGGCCAGTTATGCAACCCATCAATGAGTACAGGAGTATGGAGGGTTTTGAGGGCCGAAACTAAATAAATACATTTAATAAAAAAAAATTAATGCTTAATAAATATATCATGTAATAAAATGCTTGAATAAATAAAAAAAATATGTATTTTAATGCTAGATTGTCACCATAAATAAATAAATAAGTAAATCAGAAATTACATTAGATATTAACTATATAATATGTATCTGTGCAGTTATTTATTCATTAATATATACAGTATTGTGTGTTGTGGTGGCAGCCCGGCTGACAGTGAGTGTCCTGGTTTTTTCTCCTTTTTATCAGTTTTCTGCTTTTTTCCTTGGTTTTCTGTTCTCTGCCTGCATCCCTGTGTTTTCTCCCCTGTGTGCTCTCTCTCTCCCTCTGCTCCTGAGCCCAGCCAACTACCTGCACCTGCATCCCATCAGCCACCTCGTCAGCCTGCCACACCTGCCAATAATCACCTCATGACTGCCTGTATTTCAACCCCGGTTCTCCACACCATCCTCGCTTGATTGTTGTTGCTCCATACCCGGTGCCACCCCCACGTTCAGGCTTTCATGTTTCTTGTTTTTTCACGTTTACCCTGTGCCTTGTCGCTGTCTTCCCTAACCTTGTCTCTCTGTCTGTTTCCCTCCCAGGTACACTCACCCTCGTCCTCCGTTCGGCTGGGCTCATCCACTGGCCCACTCCTCCTCGGACTTCCCTCACGGCGTCCTCCCTGTTCCCCTGCCTCTCCTCGCTTCCTCGGCCCCTGTGTCCTTGGTTCCCCGTGCCTGTGCTTCCCCGACGTACTCCTCTCCCTCCACTCCAGTCCCTCTCACCCTTTTTCCCTCAATAAACCTCCTTCCCTCAGAGTGCTGCATTTGGGTCCTCTGTCCACACCCCACGCAATCCCATAACAATTGTGCAAATGTTTTAGGCAGGTGTGGGAAAATGCTGTAAAGTAAGAATGCCTTCAAAGATAGACAACAAAAGAAAAATCCAAATCAATATTTATCACTTTGCCTTCAAAACAGAATCAAATCTTCTAGGTACAGCATATTTCCGTGGCTACCTAAAACTTTTGTACAGCAGCCTATTTTATATTCATTTATATTTATTTATCTAGTTTTTATTGTATTTATGTATCTATTTGTATTGTATTTATTAATCTATATATACTTTAATTTAGCCATAGTGTAACTTGATGCAGCGAAATAAATAAGTGTGTTAACTTCCATCAACCATCAAAAGTCCGGGGGCAGATGAATGAACAGTATTACGGACCCAGCAGGCTCAACACATTAATCAACCTCTCTTTGAACGAGCTATAGGTTTGCTCCATCAAAAGAAGAAGACTGCCAGGTCGACCAGCGTTGCTTTTCCAGTCCTCCATCACTTGACCCTGTATTGCCATCCAGTTGCTGTACTATCTCCATGAGGATAATGAAATGGATGATGTTGACAGATTAATTCATTTTGCTGCAGCAAGTTACACTATGAATAAATGAAAACATATATTAATAAATTTCAACATTTTTAAAATAGATAAATGTGTAAATAAATGAATAAGTAAATAAATGAATAAATATATATGTAAAATTAATGAATAAATAAATGTAACATTTAAATATTGAATATCTCATTTAATTTGTGGTTTATTTGTTAATGGTGACAATTAAGCATTCAATTATATAATTATTTAGTTATTCGTTTGTTTAAGCATTTTATTATATATAGAGGTGGGTAATAACGAGTTACATTTACTCATTTAGTAAAATGTATTTGTCATCATTTAATGCTTTAAAGGAGACCTATTATACTGCTTTTCCAGTCCTATATTGTAGTTCTGTGACTCCTGTATGGCAGCTTTGCATGATTCAAAGTTCAAAAAAACATTTTTTTTTCTTATACTGATTCTTTATGTAGGCCTTCATTTCAGCCTCTGTCTGAACAAGCTGTAGATGCTCCTGTCTCTTTAAGGCCCCCCCCTCAAAGCCCACTGTCTTCTGATTGGCCAAGACCTGAAGCATGTTACCAGGCTGTTGTTGTTGCTGTCTGTTGAACAGGCAGACTGAGCGTTGCCATGCCGTTAGTGTGGGAGCACATGACCATATATGGAACACCAGCTCCGTCTGGCTCTTATTACATAGAACTGAGCCCTTGGTAGAAAAAGCAGTTCAGAACAGGAGGAAACCTGAGGTTTTTGCTCACAGTGATTTCTTATAAATGCTTTAACCTCATTTTTTGAAACTTCAGCCATGTTTAACATCCAATCTAACATTGTAGATAAGTCATAAAATGTGGGAAAGCATAATAGGTCTCCTTTAACTCTTACTTGTGTAGTTTTTAAGAGAAAAATCATTAGGCTACTTTTACTCTGTTACATTTGGTTACATTCATTGTGCTACTTCGCTACTTATTTATTTATTTACTGCAGTCAAGCATCCACATGACTCTATTAGAACAGAATAATGACTGAAGCTACAGCATGGTAGTATGGCTTTCAAATGGCAGCTAATATTTAGGCTACAGAAAAAAATTTTGCGCACCATGCAGCCAGCCCCATCTCATCCCAGGATGTCCTATATCGATGCTTTGTCGGGCTTTCTCAAAACGTCAGTAACTGACGCCCTGGGATGAGGCCATGTTGGTGCACCGTGCTGACACTGAGCTGACAGAGAGCAGTGTCTGTTGTGTTACTGCTAATATGTTTAATAATAAATAGCTACACAAAGAATATCATGCTTAAAAGCTCCTCCATCTTTTTGCCTCAATGAAAATATTCAAGCTAACAGTGTACGAGCAGTCAACTCGTTATGCTCATTGGTGTAGCCTGATGAAGACAGACCAAATTATCTCACACGAAAAAGACAAACATTCATGTGGATGTGACTGATGTAACATTTCTACCACAGATGATCTTCCTCAGGTAAACATGAAGAAGGCAACACACCTGTATTTAATAGGCAATAAATGATGAAACATCACACTAATTTGATTTGTTTGCCAAATCCTAATTTAATATTAGAGACAACAAGAAAATAATTTGTATTTTTAAACAATCTATACTCATTGGAAAACTTACAGATTATAATATTTTGTAATCACACTTGATAGATACACACTTTATATTTACAAAAAGGAAGGCCATTTCACATCATTCTTGTCACATCCACATCAAATACAAGTCTTGGGGGAAAAAGACCCTTTGTATTTTTATTTTTTTATTTCTCAAGTTGCTCACTAAGTTACTCACTACTCAAGTAATTGTTTTTGTAGTACTTTTACTTGAGTGCAGTTTTTGGCTACTCTACCCACCTCTGATTATACAATTATATATTTATTAAGCATTATATTATATAGTTATATATGTATTCATTTATTTAAGCATTTTTATTATTAATTTTTTTATTTGTTTAATTATATAATAAATTATACAAACCCTCTTGAACCCTCCATACAGAGGGGCCAAAGGTGAGACTTCCCATATTCATAGACCTAAATGATGTTCTCACTGAAGAAGTCCAACATATTGTATTGTTTTTCATTCAATTTCATTTTCCCCCTAACACGACTGCACGTACACTTCATTAACCATGACAGAGACAGAGAAGGTTGTGTCTTTTAGATTAAAGCTCGCTCTCAGCAAAGACGTGCTGGGAGAAAGATCTGCTGCAGACGCTTAGCTGTTGTTGAACTTTGGAGACTTTGATACATGCAGTTTGCCACTATAAGCTTCTCACTAACTGAACGCAGATGTTCAGCAGAGTGAGGCGTGTAAGAAAGAATAGAGAGAAAATGTGGTTGACCAGAAATTCATGTGTGTGAGCAACCATTGTGTGTGTTTACACAAGGCCTCTTTTTATAAGCCAAACTAATAGTATCACATTTCTGTAAAATAACATAACTGAAAACAAACCAGCTTTGGGAAATTTTTTCTTATACAGTATTTCACAGGCTATCTGAACAGAGCTGTATACATTATTTACTGTACAGTATATTTTGCAAAATATACAATAAGGAAATGTGGATATAATGTGACAATATATACCAAGTTTGACATTAATGTCACTACTACCAGACCACACAGTGCATTAACTTTTCGAAAAAATTATTAAAAACAAAAGGTTTTCCTTTGGCACTTGGGGGAAGCTATAAACATAGCAGTGAG